CACAACTACTGAGCCTGTGCTCCAGAGCCCACGAGCCACAACTACTGAGCCTGCGTGCCACAACTACTGAAGCCCGTGTGCCTAGAGCCTGTGCTCTGCAACAAGAGAACCCACCGCAATGAAAAGCCCATGCACTGCAACGAAGAGTAGCCCCTGCTCGCTGCAACTAGAGAGAAGCCTGTGCACAGCAACGAAGACCCAAAGCAGCCAAAAATAAATTTAAAAAATGAATTTATTTAAAAAAATAACTTATTAAAAAAAAAAAGACAGCAATGCTCTACAAATTGATCAGTGCAATCACTATCAAAATTCCAACTGCCTTTTTTGGGGGCAGAAATGGACAAGCTGGTTCTAAAATTCATATGGAATTGCAAGAGACCCAAATATGCATATATAAAAATTACCTCAAAAATGTGTCAAAGATCTAAATGTAAGAGCTGAAACTATTAAACTCTTAGAAGAAAACATAGGAGGAAATCTTTGTGACATCAGATTAGGCAATGGTTTCTTCGTTATGACACCAAAAGCACAGGCAACAAGTGAAAAACAGATAAACTGGATTTCATCAGATTTTAAACTTTCATTCAAAGGATGTAATCAAGAAAATGAAAAGACAACACACAAAATGGGAGAACCTATTTGTAAATTATATAACTGAAAGGGGTCTGGTACCCAGGACATATAAAGAACTTGTACAACTCAATGACAGAAAAACAAACAACCCAATATTAAAAATAGCAAAGAATTTGAGTGGACATTTCTCCCAGAAAGACATACAAATAGCTAATACACACATGAAAAGGGGCTCAAGATCATTAGTCATTAGGGGAATACAAATCAAAACCACAATGAGATACCATTTCACATACATTAGCATAACCAGAATCAAAAAGACAGATAATTACAAGTGTTGGTGAGGATGTGGAGAACTTAGAACCCTGTGTTGCTGGTGGGGTTGTAAAAAGGTGCAGCCACCGTGGAAAACAGGAGGAAAATAGTACGGCTATTCCTCAAAAAGTTAAACAGAGAGTTACCATGAAATTCCACTCCCAAGAGAACTAAAAACGTAAGTTCACACAAAAACTTGTACGTCGATTCGCATAGCAGCATTATTCATCATAGCCCCAAATAATCCAAATATTCATCAGCAGATGAATGGATAAACAAAATGTGGCCTATCCATACAACAGAATATTATTTGGCCATAAAAAAAAGTACTGATCCATGTTACAACACAGATGAACCTTGAAAACTCATGCTAAGGAGAGACTCCAGACATAAAGGTCACATACTTTGTGTGACTCCATTCCTATGAGGTACCCAGAATCGGCAAGTCCACAGAAACAGGAAGCCCATCAGTGGTTGCCAGGGGCTGGGGCAGGGGGGAGGGGCGGAGGAGAGTGACTGCTAATGGATACGGGATGAAAAGGTTCTGGAGCAGGTAGGCGTGTGCCTGCACGAGGCTCTGAGTATACTAAAAGCCAATTAACAGTACACTTAAAGATGTTAAAATGGTGACTTGTTACATGACTTTAACCTTGAAACAAACAAAAACCACTCAGGTTTTCAGTTGTCTGCAAACGGATCTCAGGCTCTGTCTGCTGCTCACTGAAGCAGAGGGGATGGGGATGAGGGACCCCACAGCAGTCCATGCCTCAGCCCAGGGGGCCCACTTGACTCCTCTGGTCAGTAAGGAAGCAGTGGCTTTAAGCAGAGCCCCAGTCCCACCCCAGTAGGAGGTCTCGGCCATCTCTGTGCTTGTCTTAGAGATGGGTCCCCAGGGGATGCTGCTGCGGACATCACCCTGAGCCTCCCGGCACCATGGGAAGCTCTCCTGTTGGCATGTGCGTGGGGCAGGCGTTGAAGGGGAAGGTGCAGCTGGGGCCGGGGAGTCACGGTCCTTCCTGCCCAGCCCTTGCGGGACCTGCATTCTGGCGGCTTGGGGTGGTGGAAGGAGCTCAGTAGGAAATGAGGACCTTTACTTCCTGTTTCTCCCTTCCCATTGGTGCAGTTAGCACAGCCTTGCAGACTGAGGACCATCAACCTTGGCCCCTGTGGGCCCCACTTCTCCAAACCTTCTCACTTTCTTTGCAAGGACTGAATGCGTGCCAGGTTCTGTGCCACGGCCACTCCACACAGGGCTGCAGCTGTCCGGGGAGACAGCACAGGCATGATCCCCATTACAGGCTTGAAGCTTTGCCCAAGGCCAGTCAATACAAAGCCGTCAGGCCCAGCCAGCTCTGCGTGGCTTCCATCCTGTGCTCCAAATATGCATATATAAAAATTACCTCAAAAATGTGTCAAAGATCTAAATGTAAGAGCTGAAACTATTAAACTCTTAGAAGAAAACATAGGAGGAAATCTTTGTGACATCAGATTAGGCAATGGTTTCTTCGTTATGACACCAAAAGCACAGGCAACAAGTGAAAAACAGATGCATATATAAAAATTACCTCAAAAATGTGTCAAAGATCTAAATGTAAGAGCTGAAACTATTAAACTCTTAGAAGAAAACATAGGAGGAAATCTTTGTGACATCAGATTAGGCAATGGTTTCTTCGTTATGACACCAAAAGCACAGGCAACAAGTGAAAAACAGATAAACTGGATTTCATCAGATTTTAAACTTTCATTCAAAGGATGTAATCAAGAAAATGAAAAGACAACACACAAAATGGGAGAACCTATTTGTAAATTATATAACTGAAAGGGGTCTGGTACCCAGGACATATAAAGAACTTGTACAACTCAATGACAGAAAAACAAACAACCCAATATTAAAAATAGCAAAGAATTTGAGTGGACATTTCTCCCAGAAAGACATACAAATAGCTAATACACACATGAAAAGGGGCTCAAGATCATTAGTCATTAGGGGAATACAAATCAAAACCACAATGAGATACCATTTCACATACATTAGCATAACCAGAATCAAAAAGACAGATAATTACAAGTGTTGGTGAGGATGTGGAGAACTTAGAACCCTGTGTTGCTGGTGGGGTTGTAAAAAGGTGCAGCCACCGTGGAAAACAGGAGGAAAATAGTACGGCTATTCCTCAAAAAGTTAAACAGAGAGTTACCATGAAATTCCACTCCCAAGAGAACTAAAAACGTAAGTTCACACAAAAACTTGTACGTCGATTCGCATAGCAGCATTATTCATCATAGCCCCAAATAATCCAAATATTCATCAGCAGATGAATGGATAAACAAAATGTGGCCTATCCATACAACAGAATATTATTTGGCCATAAAAAAAAGTACTGATCCATGTTACAACACAGATGAACCTTGAAAACTCATGCTAAGGAGAGACTCCAGACATAAAGGTCACATACTTTGTGTGACTCCATTCCTATGAGGTACCCAGAATCGGCAAGTCCACAGAAACAGGAAGCCCATCAGTGGTTGCCAGGGGCTGGGGCAGGGGGGAGGGGCGGAGGAGAGTGACTGCTAATGGATACGGGATGAAAAGGTTCTGGAGCAGGTAGGCGTGTGCCTGCACGAGGCTCTGAGTATACTAAAAGCCAATTAACAGTACACTTAAAGATGTTAAAATGGTGACTTGTTACATGACTTTAACCTTGAAACAAACAAAAACCACTCAGGTTTTCAGTTGTCTGCAAACGGATCTCAGGCTCTGTCTGCTGCTCACTGAAGCAGAGGGGATGGGGATGAGGGACCCCACAGCAGTCCATGCCTCAGCCCAGGGGGCCCACTTGACTCCTCTGGTCAGTAAGGAAGCAGTGGCTTTAAGCAGAGCCCCAGTCCCACCCCAGTAGGAGGTCTCGGCCATCTCTGTGCTTGTCTTAGAGATGGGTCCCCAGGGGATGCTGCTGCGGACATCACCCTGAGCCTCCCGGCACCATGGGAAGCTCTCCTGTTGGCATGTGCGTGGGGCAGGCGTTGAAGGGGAAGGTGCAGCTGGGGCCGGGGAGTCACGGTCCTTCCTGCCCAGCCCTTGCGGGACCTGCATTCTGGCGGCTTGGGGTGGTGGAAGGAGCTCAGTAGGAAATGAGGACCTTTACTTCCTGTTTCTCCCTTCCCATTGGTGCAGTTAGCACAGCCTTGCAGACTGAGGACCATCAACCTTGGCCCCTGTGGGCCCCACTTCTCCAAACCTTCTCACTTTCTTTGCAAGGACTGAATGCGTGCCAGGTTCTGTGCCACGGCCACTCCACACAGGGCTGCAGCTGTCCGGGGAGACAGCACAGGCATGATCCCCATTACAGGCTTGAAGCTTTGCCCAAGGCCAGTCAATACAAAGCCGTCAGGCCCAGCCAGCTCTGCGTGGCTTCCATCCTGTGCTCCGAAGTCCCCCCCCACCCCCTGGTCCTGATGAACTCTGGGCAGGGAGAGACCTGGAAGAAGTCAGGAGGGCAGTGGTTGTGGAGCACCAGACAGGGCCTGCGTGGGTGGCAGGCTGGGACTGAGTCTCCTGAGGGCCACCCTGGCACAGAGTCCTGGGCACCAGGCTCGGGGCACATCTGGGGTGGCTCAGCACCCTTGTACTCAGCAGGGGTGTGAATGAGGCAGCAGCTGCCTGGGACCCCAGGCAAGTGCCACTGTTTCCCTTGTCCTTGGGCAGCCCCCAGGACTATGGCTGCACTTAATACAGCTGTGACCCCCTGGTGGAACCCTGCCCAGGCCTGTTTGTGCCCAGTGACCATCAGGGATTTTAGGGAGATGGTTTCGCCATGGCCCCGTGCTCCTGCACACCTCAGATGGGACTTCACGCTGTCCCTGCCTCTGACCACTAACGTCTCAGCGTGGAGCCCAGCTGGTGCTGGATGCCCCCCATCCCTCATTAACTGGGAACTGACTGTGCCACCGCCGGCAGGGACTCCACGTGGATCCTCACACTCAATCCCCCAACTGGACTAAGCAGGTGCTTGTATCCCCTCAAGAAAACAGGTTCCAAGAGGGAGGACCGGTCCCTCTCGGAGCACCATCAGATGCCACATTCCAACTTCTCTCCCAGGACACAGACCCGTGCCTCAGTCCAGAGGCAGGGAGAGCTGGGGCACTGCCGGCACAGGGGAGCCAAAAGCCGCAGGTACTGAGGTGCAGGTTCTAAACAGGCACAGTGTCCCAGAGCCTGGGGTGAGTGGGCAGAAGGCCCGGGACCTGCTAGGGAGGGTGGGGTGAGCTGGGGTTCCCTGTGTACCACCGGCTGTGAAGAGCAGGTGTTTTTCTCAATCTCAGGATTGGGTGGACAGTAGAAGCTGAGGTGAGAAAAAAGATGTGCCAGCGAGGACATCTGGGGAGGACCACAGATGAGAACCTGGGATAGGCCTCCCTGCCTGAAGGAGTCCCCTTGAAGGTACCTGTGGAACATGCCGGAAGCTGCTGAGCCCAGTGGGCCATCCAGTGGAGCCAATAACCATGTGGGTGGCACCCAGCAGCCCACCTGGCCCCAGAAGGCCCTCTGTACCCCGAAGCCCCCTGCCCTGGAATGGCCCTGCTTCCTATTGCAATGTCCTGACTAGGGGCTACTACTACCATGTGGGGCAGCCCCTGGCCCCGCCTTACAAAGGGTTTTGGGAGCACAGGTTAAGCGGGAGGGGAAGGGGGACAGCTGACCCCAAATAGCTGGCTGCCTTGCTTACTTGTCCCCTTTGCTTCTTCCAGGAGCCCAGGCCCTGGAAGAGAGCTCCCTTCTCATTCTGAATGAAAGGAGAGACACCAGAGTGGGGCGTGGAAGGAGCGCTGGGACCCGGGGCCTCCCTGGGCTTCCATCCCAGGCTGTCAAACCATGACAGGCAGCTCCTTGAGAGGCAGGATAAACGGCAAGAAAGGCTTGCCTCCGAGGATTCTTCACACCCCTCAGCAAAGATTCCAGAGTCTTTAGGGAACCTGGGGGTGAGCTAGGAGGAGGTGGAGGACTGGGGCTGCTTGGGAGGCACCGAGGGGCTGTGGGTGGGGCCGTGCGCCTCCCTGGGACTAGCTCACACCAAGAGGAGTGGCCAGGCAGGGCACCAGAGTCAGGGCTGCCCTCCCACAGCGGAGACGCGTTTTGAGGCTGGGCCTCTGGGTGAAGAGGCTGGCAGTCGGGGGGAGTGCGGCGGGTTGACAGGAACAGGGGAGAGCTATTGGCACTTGAACACAGTGGGCTGCCCGCCCTCAGGGCCCATGGCCAGGATAGCAGATCCCAACACCCATCTCCTCGGGTACAGGTGCCGGCCCTCTGTCTGGCACCCCACCCCTGCAGCCCAGACTGCCCCTGTATGTCCCCCAACCCTCAGCCTTTTCCAGGCTCAGACACTGCTCTTCTCCCCGCCTCCTGGCCCTGCCCGTCCCAGCAGCAGGCAGTCTGGAGACCGGCTGGGCAGCCAGGGGCCAAGCCTGACAGCAGCCACCCCAGTCTGGACCCTCCCCGGCCAGGGCAGAAGCGGCTCAGTGTAGCTGGTCCGCAGGGAGGGACGCGCTGGTTTATAAACAAACACAAAGTGAAAGCGGCACATGTACTCAGAGAAGCAGATGGGCAAGGAGAAGGTGTGCATATATGTCTGGCAGCTGTAAGCCCACCTGGGCGCTTTCAGAACAAAACAAAAATCACCAGAAAATCCCCTATGAACTCTGAATCCCTTCCTGTGCTCCTAAGAAATTAACGTCATGTGCTCTCTGGGCCTGGCACTCTGCCGTGTGAGCTCTGTCTTCCACTGAGCTCTCTCCAGGCCCCTGGGCCTCATGACCGTGGAATGGAAAGGTGGCCACCCCAGTCCATCCGAGCAGGGCTGTGCCTTCTGCGCCCCCATGTCCTCGGGCCGGGGTGCCCCCCCCACCCCGAGTCCCTACAGACGAGCTGGAGCAGGGCCACAGGCGGCCCAAGAGTCTTCCTGCCATCCAGCTCGGTGCAGCCCCAGCCCTTGCCCTACTGCCCCTAGGCACCTGGGCCTGGCGCTTTCCGGTGTGTCCTGGGGTTTCGGCTGTGGGCTTTGAGGGGCCCGTCCTTACCTGCGGGCTCTTCTGAGGCTCCCTGAGGGCACGCCTTTGGGCTCTGTGCCTTCTTGCTCCTGGTAATGACATCAAGAAAGGACAGCATCAAACGTCAGAGCCCCCCTTGATCCCCAGGTGGTCCCTGGAAGCTGTGCCGACCTGGATCCTCAGGGGTGCGAGAGCCCAGGCCAGAGGGGGCAAGGCAGATCCCGACGGCCAGCCCCCACCCCTGGAAGAGTTCAGGGGTCCCAGCCACACCATCCCACAGTTCTCAAAGCAGCTCAGCCAGGCCCAGGCCAGCACGGGCTTGGAGGAGAAGGGAGCACAAAGTAAACGCTATGCTTGCAAGGACTCCTGGTGGGAGAGGATGGGCCTGATGTCCAAGCTGCCAATGGAAACCTCGCTATCTCAGTCTCTTCATCGGCAAAGTGATCACAGTGCCTGTCTCATGGTAAATGCCGTTAGGATTAAGTAACCAGCCACTGCTGGCTGTGACTGTACCACAACATAGTGGGATGAGAATCACTGTGCACACCACACAGGTGAGGAAACAGGCTTTGAGAGCGTAAATGACACAGCACGTGCAGAGCCAGGACATGAACCGGGACCACCTGACTCCCTCACCCTTTCTGTGGAGACCACGACATAAATGGACCAAGGCAAGCAGGGGGCGCCCTGGTGGGAGGTGAGCTTTGGGCTTTGGGGGTTGCTGGACAGTTCCCACTGAACATGGAGTCCACACTGGCCCCGAGCATTCTGCTGGCTCTTCTCCTGTCCCCTCAGGAACCCTGCGCCCCCTGCCTGGCCCTGCCTGTCTGGCTTGAGCCACAGCGCCACCGCCGAGAGAGGCCCAGCCACCAGAAGTGGCCCCACGGGGGCATGACCCAGCCACCCCAGCACTCACCTTTCTGGCCGCAAGGCAGGGGCCCCTTGGACTCCCAGGGTCCTGCGGATGTAGTCTCGGGAGCGGATGTCAGCCTGAAGAAAGGGATGGCTCGAGTGAGAGGGGATGGCTGGGGTCCCAAGCTGGCCTCTGGACCAGTCCCCACCCGATAGGGTGGCCCCTCCTGGAAAAGCCCACAGAGGCCCAGCCTTAGGGAAAAGGAGCAGCGGCCCCATGATGCGTGGGTGCCAGGATGTCAGGCCCTCTGGTTGGGGTGCTTGACAGCATGTCCCCGAAGGGCCTGAGGAAATGGGCTGGGTGCCTCGCTCCTGTTTCAGTGGCTTTCAGTGGGTTTATAGCTTGTGCTTCCCTGTAGGTTTTGCTTGAGCCAACAGTTTCTCTGCTAAAGCCCTCTTCTCTGAAGGCTGTCCTCAGCCCAGCTTGTCTATCCTCACTTTTGGTTCATCTGGCTCCCTGGCTAGTGTCAGCTGCAACCTCTGTCCCTGGAGAAGGGTCTGGGAAGTTCTGCAGAGTCACCAGAATGAAAGGGGCCTTGTGGGCCACAGGCTGGGATCAGGGCACACCCTGGGGAGAGGGGAACAGGCCTGAGTGGGGCCCCCAGGACCTGGCGGCACAGGCTCTCCCCGTTCCAGGGGGCCTGGCCTCAGGGAGGCCCCTGATCCCGGCTCAGATGGCTCAGCCCTGCTTTGGGCTGTGTGACTACAGGACACAACAGCTAATCCCCCCGACTGTTTCTACTTGAGTGAACGGGCAAGCAGGCAGGGTGGGCGGCAGGGTGCTCCGGGAGAAAGGCCCCGGAGACGCGAGGCAGCACCTCCCACCTTCCTCTGCAGCAACCGGTCCCGGCCTGGCCCGGGAGCTGGGGGCAGCGGGCCTGTGACCAACGGAGCAGGCCCTAAGCCGTTCTCCCAGCTTCTCCTCAGAGCTTACAGAAGTAGTCAGGAGGGCAAAGTGTACACAGGTGAGCGGGCCAAGGAAGAAGATGGACCAAGAGATACCAGTGCCACTGGACAGGGCCACACCCCGTTCCTGGAAGCGATGGGGTTGGTGGGCTCCTGGGTGCAGACGTCTGGCTTTTCTCTAGGGCAGACACACGGTCCTTGCCCACCTTTGAGGGGTTCATGGCACTTTACAGGGCATCCCCCCACCTGCAAGGACACAGCTCTCATCCACTCTGGGGCAAGGCGAGACACAGAAGGGACAGAGACCTGCCCACCATACCAGCTCAGCAGAGTCCCTGGCTCTGAGGGCCTGCGGAGAAATCTCGGGTCGTCACCCCACCCCCACAAGGTCGCACAGGTGGATGGGAATGGGGGAGGACACGTCACAGGCTTGTGCACCTAAGAACCCTGTATGGGGAGGGAAGGAGGCTGAGGCTGGTGGACACTTAGAAAGTCCACCCTGGAAGCCACCCTAGAGGCCTTGACTCTTTGCAGCCCAGAGAGTTGCTGGCAGGGGCCGAGAGCCACAGCCGCGTGCGTGCTGCTGCTGCCACCTGGAGGCTGCCCTGCACACCAGCAGCCTGGGGATCCCAAACCCCGAGGCGGTTGGCTACGGGGCTCTTGGGGTGGTGGAGGCAGAGCCAGGACCCTCAGGTTTGCAGCGTCACCAGGTGGTGCTGAGCTGAGAGTACCGAGCGGGCCTGTGGCACCTAGGCCAGGTTGCCTCTAGTTGACACAGCACAGGCCTCAGGGACACATGGAGCAGCAGGCGATATACAGGCCCTGTTGGGAAGGCAAATCTGATGGTGCCCCCTCCCAACTCACATCCAAGGCCCTGTGGTGAAGCTGAAGTTCTGCCCCGGCAATGCGCACAGGCTTCCGCCCGCTCACCCTCGCCAGGGCTCCAGCCACAAGTTCCTCTGAGTTTCTGGCATCAAACTCCTTCCTGCCCAAGGGCCTTTGCAAATGCTGGTCCTCAGGCCTGGACTGCCCTTCACCCTCTCCCAGCAGGCCTCTCCCTGAGGACAGCTTCTCACAGATCCTTGCCTCATGGGCTTCCCTGGGACTTGCACCTGCTCTGCACCTTGTCATGGCCAAGACCACCAAGGCGACCCAAGGGCAACCTGCATGAGGTTAGCTGAGCCGACTCGTTCACCAGAATTCTGATGCCCCTGGGCCCCAAGTTAGGTGCTGGGTGCCCGGCGTGGCCACACCCTGGAGTCTCCTGATTTTATCCCTGGCCCAAGTCTTCCTCAGCAGTGCCCAGCAGCCCTGCAGGGGCCCCCCCAGCCGAGGATGGCCGCTCCCTCCCAGGCCAGCGGGGCAGCTTGGGCCCTCAGGGGCTGGCAGGCCACTCTGCCATTTAAGCTGACGTCAGCTGATTTTCCCGATGACCCAGGGTGCCAGAGGCTGAAAGGCTGAGTGCAGGGGCACAGCAGACCCCCGGGCTAGGCAGGGCAGGCCTCTGCATCTTCCAGGCCCCTCTCCTCCCCTCCGGAGCCTAGTGTGGCCCAAACTGACTCTCCCACAGGTGCTTGTGGACCCTCAGCCCGGGAGTACAGGAAGAGCAGGTGCCATGTGCTAGCCTACCCACCTGGCAGCCCACTCACCTGGCGCACAGGCTCCGGGATCCGAAACTTGCAGCAGCCATGGGTCAGGCGCACGGCTGCCTCCAGGCTCATCTTGTGGCCCACAGAGACATAGAGGGGCTTGGTGCTGTGGTCATGGCTCTTCAGGGCCTGTGACAGGGAGGGCGAGGTCAGGGAACTGGGCAAGCTCTGTGGGCTGGAGGACTGACATGTCCTGGGCGGCGGGCAGGAGCTTGGGAGACTGGCAGCACCCTTGGGGCACCTTCCTGATGTTTGTCTTAGGGACAGGGTGGGGCGAGTGAGGGCCCAGAGGCCCCCTCAGCACGGTGCGGGAGGGGAAGAAATAAAGGTGCAGGGTCAGCCAGAGTGGCAGGAAGATAGGGAGAGGCGGACGGGTTCTGGGGCACGCACGTACATGGGTGCTGACCCCAGGCCCCCTCTGGCCCTCAGCTGAGGGGTCTGCCTCGGTGGGGCACAGGCCCCTGGCCACTCACCATGCCCAGGACGGTCCCGGAGCCTCCCATCAGAGGAAATGAGTCTCCTCCAGCCTTCAGGAGCCGTATCTGGAAAAGAGAAAAAAGACTTGGAAAAATACCTTTCTTGGTGAAAGGCTTGAAGGCAAGCCTGCTCACTTTTAAAACCTGAGCAGGGGCTTCCCTGGTGGCGCAGTGGTTGAGAGTCCGCCTGCCGATGTAGGGGACACGGGTTCGTGCCCCGGTCCGGGAAG